TCCCCCTCGGGTCACTGTATGCTGCCACATTTGCCTTTTCCTGGTTGAGTCTCCTTCTCCACCCCATGGTCCTTCCTTGTGCTGGTCCCATCATCGTCAGTCTAGAATCTCTTCAAAAGCCTCCCAATACCAGTCCTATGCCTCCCCCAACCCAAAGTCAACATGAACCCAAGCCATCTTGGTAAAATGAAGATCTCAACATGCCTCTCCCTCCTGGACCCCTCCTGCTCCCAGGATAAAGTCCACCCCCTTAGCGTGGCTTCAGGGGACCTCTGTGACTGGACACCTGTTTGCCTTGCTAGCCTCATCTGTCACCTTCCTCCGTGTCCCCACCATCACATAACTCCGCTCTGCTCATGGCAAGCTACCAGCAGTTCTTCCGATTTGCTACCCTCACACACAGCCTTTTGCTTTACAAATGCTATTCTGTACCCAGGCATCTTTCTCCACCTGCTTCCCCTGGAAGCCCCAACTCCTCTGCATTCCTGTAGCACCTGTGCTTCCCCGAACCTCTGATCTGTCACTGGCTGTACTCCCATCTTTTCTCCCCACTAGTCTCTGAGCATCTTTAAAATATATATATAATATAGATATATACATCTTGAGGGCCATCTTTCATCTCTGAATCCCCACACCTAGTAAGTAGCTAGTGCTCAAGAAATGTTTGTTGAATGAATAAATGACTTATTATTACCCCTTGTCTCAATTAACTGATATTTGGTCTTATCCAAACTATCCACAGAAACATATGGTCATGTCAAAAGGTTCTTGAAATTTCGTCCTGTCCAAAACATCTACTCTTGGAAAATGCCCCTGGGTTCAAACAGCCCAGAGTGTTTATTTCTTACTTTGGGTCTACAGGTTAATACACAAAAAATACTATCAGGTTTTATTGGTCCAATAATAGTGTTGCGGCTGTATTGCCAACAATCTTTCTTGCCTTAGTGCCCAGCTGGTCATGGCACATAGGGTTAGGTAGATCGGTCGGGGTGGACCAAATGTCTCCATGGACATTTTTAAAAATATATATTTTTATTGATTTCAGAGAGGAGGGGAGAGGGAGAGAGGAGAGAAACGCCAATGATGAGAGAGAATCATTGATGAGCTTTAAGCTGTATGCTAGGCAGTGACAAAAATCAGATTTTCTGTGTTAAAGATCACACAGGCACAGACTCTTATGCAGAAGCCCACGACCCACCCCTCTATCCCTTGGCGATTTCTTGGAATGAGAATTCTTGGCCTTAGCCCCACCCCCAGAAACATCAGTGATGAGAGGATCATTGATTGGCTGCCTCCTGCATGCCCCGCACTGGGGTTTAAGCCCTCAACGCAGGCATGTGCCCTGACCGGGAATCGAACCATGACCTCCTGGTTCATAGGTCGACACTTAACCTCTGAGCCAGGGCTGGCCGGGCTCCATGGACATTTTGGACAGGATCAAATCTCAGGGACCTTGAGGTGCGGGTGTTTTGGACTAAACCAAATGTCCTGCTAGGCTTGTCTCATGCTCCCTCACCCATGTGTTCACCCAGGAGGGTACTCCCCTGGGCCCTTCCCAGTCCCAGGCACTCACGGTAGATATGGCTGCTGCTCCCCTTCTTATCCTCAGAGGCCTCTGGTGGCCCTCGGAGGGCCCACTGTCCAGCCAGCTGCTCCACCATGGCCCAGTGGGTGAGCAGCATGCTGTGTAGGAACTGCGGAGCGAGGAGCAGCAGGTGTGGGGGTGGGATGGGCTCTCCCTGGCACACATTCCCCAGGACTTACTGTTTTAACAACCAGTTGTTAAAACAATGAAATGCTCTCATAATGGTTGTTAAATCACCCCTGCCCACATGCCTTGGACCCTTGCCTGAGACCCCCCACTTGTCCCCTGTGATGCACCCCTAAAGGCGTGATTCCTAGCACAGGGATATTTTAGAGTATCTTAGAAGATTTAGAGCAGGGGTCCTCAAACTACGGCCCGCGGGCCACATGCAAATACAAATACTGTATTTGTTCCCGTTTTGTTTTTTTACTTCAAAATAAGATATGTCCAGTGTGCATAGGAATTTGTTCATAGTTTTTTTAAAACTATAGTCCGGTCCTCCAACGGTCTGAGGGACAGTGAACTGGCCCCCTGTTTAAAAAGTTTGAGGACCCCTGATTTAGAGTATCAACCCTGGGCACTCAGGGACTAGGGAAGAAGGACTTTGGAAGCTGCTGGGCCCCTGAGGCAGAAAGGAGGGCTGGGGGCCTGTGAGGCAGGAAGATCAGTCTCTGGTGGAGCCCGGGGCTGGGGGCTGCCTTCACGCTTACCTTACTCTGCATGCCCATGGGCACCAGGGTTGGCCGAAACAAGTTGGGGGCCGGCATTGCCCGTACCTCCCATCGAGGACAGTTGACTACGATGAGCTTGCTTAAGTTGAACTTGTAAGTGAACCTTTTGCCTTTGGTCTTGTGCAGGATCTTCTTATTGTAGTAATATCTGGAGATCCCAAGGATGAGAATGGAGATTTGGCCCAAGGGACAGGGAATGTAGTCTGAGACCCAGCCATGTCCCCTCCCCAGGCCAGCAAGGCTAACCCCAAGCCGTTCCTGCATAACCACTCACGATCATTTCCCAAGCCGTGAAGGGGCAGGAGTCAGGTGGAGTGCCAGAAACCACAGCCCTTTTCTCTGAACTCTGCCCGGACTGGCCGCTGGAGCTGTCTTCTCTCACCTGAGGGCCCGGCTCAGCTTGTCGTAATTCATCTGTGGTTTGCACTTCCTGCGGCCCCAGAGGCGGGCCACCTCGTCTGGATCCTTGATGACAAACTCCCCGTACTCTCCCTGCTGCCAGGCGATGACATGGCGGAACTCTTCCTTCTGCAGCAGCTCCAGGATGAAGTGCCACAGCTGGATCTGCCGGGAGCCTGGGGACGACTCGGCTTTGTAGGCCCAGTCAGGGAAGGCCAAGCCTGGGGCACAGAGGGCAGTGTGAATGCCTCCAGCGCCCCGGTGGACCATGGGTGGGAGACCTGGCAGAGGCTCACCTGAGATCCAGGAGTTGCCCGCAACGGTGGGGACGCCCTCTGCCAAGCAGCTGCGGTGCATGTTCCAGTCTGGAACTGTGTCTGGGCTTCAGGAGAAAGAAGTAAGCAAAGGAGAAGGCAGGGGAGAGGGAGGTGGAAGAGGGCGGGAGGAGGGAGGAAGAGAAGGAAGGAGATAAGAGGGAAGAGATGAGGAGAGAAAAGGGAGACTGAGGCAGGGGAGCAGGGTCTGGGGCAGGAAGCTCCCCCACGCCCCCCTCCTCTGGGGACCTCCTCACTGGTCAGGAGCTGACCCCAAGACGCTGAGTCACTTATATAGATGGAAAGGAAGGCAAAGTGTCCTATATCCTGCCCCCGCGGGAGGGTTTAGACAGAGGAGATCTCTTCGCAGGGCTTAATAGGATTGGAGTTTTTCCCAAGATAAGACCAAATGTAATTAATTAATTATTGGCTCTTTCTAAATCTTGAGTGGGAGGAGATGGCAGACACAGAGAACCCCTACCATCATTGTACTTAGACTAATTTTACATTTGAGAAAACAGGATTTTTTGTGTGTGTGTGTTTTTTCACTGATGAGACTCAAGTGCCTAAGAAAGTATCTGGCACATCATAGGTGTTCAAGAAATTATTGTTCATACCATCAATAAATGGTACTGAATTGATCAATGGTGCCTCCATGTGATTAACACCTGCCTTCTCCCTCAGTGTGTTAGCTCCATGAGGTGAGGAACCCCAGCTGTCTTGTTCCCTGCCGGTTCCCTAGAGCCCATCCTAGCCCAGGGCCTTGTACTCCCAGGTGTTCTGTAAGTATTTGTTGAATTAATGAACATGAACAAGGAAGAAGGGAATTCGTTGATTCCCAATTTGGCATGGTGGGTGGGTGGCGGTCAGATGGGGAGAAGATGGTTGAATGAGCCCCAGTGTGATGCAGGCGAAGGGAGAGAGAAAATGTCTAAGTCCCAAAGCCTTTGGGTGGGACTGAGGCTGGTGCAGAAAGGCTGGCACCCTCTGTCACTAGTGGAAGAGGAAACGATGAGCAAGAGGGCTGAGGAGGGATGGGAGAGCTTGCCATGGGGATGGCAGGACGCAGCCTGCTCCTGGGGGTGGACCTAGAGGGGTTACCTGGACGGAAGGACCACTTGTAAACAGGGGATGGGTTTACAAGGCCTGGGTGCTGGGTTCCCATCTCTGATACGTGGGTGTGAGGTGAGCTTCATTCTCTACTGGAACTGACTAGGTGCAGAGGTCTGGAGGGCATGTGGGTGTTTGGCTGGAGTAGTTGCATCCCTCTGCAGTCCAGGCTCAGAGAGGGAAAGCAGCTGACACATGGTGTTTAACTGCTATACCCCCACTCCTAATCCACAGCACTTTCTCATTTCTTGTTATTTATTTATTTATCTATTTATTTTGTTAATCCTCACTTAAGGATACTTTTCCATTGATTTTTTAAAGAGAGATTGGAAGGGAGGGGGAGAGACACACCCAGAGAGAAACATTGATGTGAGAGCACCACATCGACTGGTTGCCTCCTGGGCACCAATTGGGGCCAGGGATGGAGCCTATAACTGAGGTATATGCCCTTTGACCGGAATCAAACCTGGGACCCTTCAGTCCACTCCATCCACTAAGCCAAACCAATAAGGACTCTTTTCTCATTTTTCAAAGTGATGCTTCAAGACTTTAAAAAAAAAATCTGTAGTAGTGCTACTGAAGCTCTAATGTGCATAAGAATCCCCTGAGGATCTCTTTAAGTGCAGATTCTGACTCAGTGAACTTGGTGGAACCTGAGATTCTGCATTTCTAACAAGCTCCTGGGTGATGCCCCTGCTACTGGCCGATGGACCATACTTTGAGTAACAAGAATACATGGGATACAGCAACAAGGAGCTGTGGGTGTTAGAAAGCCAAGGGATCCCAAGACCCTTCCTGCTCCCCCCACCCCCACACCAAGAGGCCATGGGGTCTCTTGCTCTCCCTTTCCCAGGGAGGTCAACTGAAAGAATGAAAGCGCATGGTGGGCAGGGGAGCAGGTGCTGAGAACATCTGCCAGTCTGGCTTGAGCAGAGAACAACTCTGGAAATTAGGGCGATGATTAGGTCAATGCCACTCTGAATTTGGGTGAATAGGTTTTCCATACATCCCTCTCTCTCTAAAATGACAGCTGACATTCTAGAATCCTCTTCTCTCCTTCCTTCCCTCCCCTGAAGCAGATCCTCCCGTACCCCTCTCATTTCCTGCCTGTCCTTAGGGGAAGCTCCTCCTCTGTCTACCTACCCTCTCCTTCCTCACCTTAGAAAAACGGGTTGGGAAGTGGGAGTTGCAGCAGGGAGTGATTCCAGGGAAAACTCTTCCTTGAGGGAAGCTGATAAAGTTCCTGGACTGCCCCAGTGCCTGCTGGATCTGAGGGTACGTCCTGGTCTGGAAGGTTAGAGACCTTGGCGTAGATTTAGGATCTGGAAGAAGAGATTGATAATCTGCCTCGAAGCAGATACTCAGCGCCCCTGCACTGTGCTGAGGAGCGGACATGCCCTAAGCCTCTCATAAAGTATCAGACAGGCCGGAGCTCAGAGGGGTGGAGTAACTTCTCTAAGGCCATGAAACTCCAAGTGAAAAAGTGGAAAGCAAGACTTAAATCAAGATTGATAATCCACCCTGTCTTCTGCGCCAAAAGAAAAAGAAAAAACAAAACACCAAAATACAGAATCAAAGTGGGTTAAGCTTCTGGGTGTCTGAGGAGAGAATACCTGAATGCCCGCAGCCCCCTCCCTGGCCTGGTGGTGTCTGAGAGTCCCTCCTGGAATCTTAAGTCTCTGGGGAACTCACCGGTTCTGGATGTGGAAATACTGACTGCTGGCAAGTCTTGCCAAAGGTCTCCCCTCAAGTCCTTCCTTTTTGAGCTGAGCAACCTTGGGTACCCCCAGAGAGGAGCAGATTTTAGTTCTGCCTTCTTGCTCAAGAATTATTCTTGGTGTTTAACTTTAATACCTTGTGCTTCCATTTTAACCCATACTCCTGGTGTGCTCCAAGGCTGAGTGAGGTAGATAGTCCCACTCTGTCTCCCTCCCCATCTCCCAGCTCCCTCCTGTGCTGTGAGCTACCTGTGCAAAGCTTGGGGCGGCTCTACCAGGCTCTGCAGAGTCCCTACAGTCCTATGAGGATACGCATTGAGAACTAGAAATCAAGAAGGATCACAACCCACTCTTGAGTCATCAGAGAGGCTGCACTTAAGTGCCTGGTGTTTCTCGAAGGGTTATAGCAGTGAGCAATCATTATTGTCATCACCATCATTCTGGTTACTGATAATAAGATAAATTCCCTTGGCCAACACAAGTGCATATTACAACACATGTAGGTTTTAGGTCATTATTTATTAGAAGCAAGAGAGATCATGATGATAACCATAGGGAGTATGCCTTAAACCAGACCTTGGAGCCCAAGGAAATGTCAAGAGTAGAGTTTACCTTTTTAAGAGTTTAGTTAATATGCATCGGGTCCCTATCATGCACTCAACATTGGGTTTGACACTCCTTTGGTCATATGTTACTTCCCCAAGTCTTCACAATAACCCTTTGAGGTGGGTATTGTTAACTCTGTTTTGCAAGCCTAGGAAATCGAGGCTCAGACGATTACGAGACTTGCATAAGATCTTCGGGCAAGTGGTGGAGCCGGATGGGAACAGGTCTGTCTGACTCGAGGCTCCCAGCTGTAATCTGTCCATCGTGGCAGAAAAGTTGAAGTTGAAACTTGGGAGCAGAGAGAGGAGGCTGGCAGGAGGCCATGGGCGCTGAAGGAGGCACCCAGGGTAAACCTAAGAAGTGGGCTGTTTGCCAGAAAAATGATCCATGGAGGACCCGGGATGCCAGGGGGCAGTCCGATGGGCAGAGTGAAATACAGAAAGGATGAGAAAGACAGAAACACATGGAGGGGAGGGGGGGGACAGGGGGGGCGAGAGTTCAAGACCAACACTGCATCTCTGCAAAGTAGAAACTTGCATCAAAAGTCATTTTGTTGTGGGGCTTTCGGAGGGGCTGCAGGAGCTGATGGACTGGACACAACCAAGTCTAGAGACTGCTTGATTGATTCAGTGGGAAAACGGGGCTGTTTCTAAACTGAAAGGTGGAGG